TTCTGGTAATCATGTTAGAGTCGCGAACCTATTTCTCGAAATGAGGATATGACTTTATGGCCTATACTCTCTTGTTGTCTCAAAACCTGTCACTTCTCGTCTTTTCTTTCACTTGACTATAGACTCTGTAATACTATCATCTTTTTGACCTACCGTTGTCATCCATGTATCACATCTTACTATTAATTCTTCATTAGCTCTCTTCTTATTTCCTGCTAATATTTTTGTCTATCACCTTATTCTGAAAACTTCAACAAGTTATTCTTTTGCTTTTAGCTCCCCTTTGCTCCATCCACTGGATCTTCGGGTTGCCTAGCATTATCTCTTTACTAAGGACGGGAGCCATACTAATATAATATTTATCCTTTTCACGCTTCCACTGCCTATCTTTATAGCACTCATATCTAGCTGTACTATTTTAGAGTGCACCATCTGGGTGCCTCATAAGAAGACCTATTAACACATTTTGCAATATCCTTCGGAAATGTCAACTAACACAAATAATTCATCCACCATTTTAGGTCATTCTAACCCAAGCCGGATCCTGATATCTCATCCTTCTCTTGAACCATATCTGTTAGCTCCCATAGGGTATAACTAAGATCTAAGTAGCCAATTATACATACCTCTGTTAATGTTGAAGGTAACTCAAAATGCTTAAATTTCTCTGCTTGAATTGTAAATACTGTTAACCTTCATTAACTGGGCGCCTCGTGCCCTTCTTCATCTTGCTTCTTTTGCTTGTTGAAATTTGTATTTATCTTCTGAATCTCTCATTGTCTTTCACCATAAAGGCGTATACATCTTAGTACACACATGATCTACTGAATACTTTTTTTTTACTCATCATAAGCATCACGCAAAATCGAGTTTCTCTGACTCAACGTTTCCACAGCTATAGGAAATTGAGTTCTTACAATAGAGCTCTACCAAACGATCTAGAGTAAGAAGAAAGAGTAACAGTCCTAAATGACCTATAGCTTCCTGGTTATAAGTGTGGTGCACGACATACCCATAAACAAGACTCTACTAGACACGGCTTGTAGACTCCCTAGGACAGAACTGCTCTGATACCACTTTTCTCACGACCCAAACCGATGGGCCGCGACGGGCACCCGGTATCTTACTCAACCGAGTACCAACATAACATATCTTTCGTATCATACTATCATAGGTAAATGAGCCAGAGAGGTTGTCGTGATATAAGTAGAATAAAACATGGAAAAAATGCTCGACATTGGATGACCCAACATGTAATCCAAACTCATACAGGCCTATAAGGCCAGCATGATCCTTTATATACTCAAAACATAGGCTGACAAGGCCATACAAGAATCCGTATACATGACATCTATCTACAAGACTTTAAGAGTACATACTTATACAGGTCGGGATAGGGCCCCGCCATACCAAACAATACGCGTCTAAATCATACTGACCAAACAAGCGACTTCGGAGCAAATGGAGCGCACCAACGTCTTCTGCTGAGCTGATAGCCTACTTGGAGGACTCTCGACCTGTCTATCAGGACATGCAGGCATGAAACGCAGCATCCCCAGGCAAAAGGGACGTCAGTACGAATAATGTACCGAGTATGTAAGGCACATAAATTAGTACATAAAAGACATAGAAGAAATATAGCGTAAAGGAATTAACTTGTAAGTTTGGATAACTCTGTAAATCATAAAATGCTTATAGTGTCATGCATAGGCGTATGAATATCATGTCGTACATAGGTACATGTGTTCATAACATCATCAAGCCTCTGAGGGCATCCCATCATATCATCTCGGGCACTGTGGGCAAATCATCAACGTATACCAGCTGATCAGGTGGTGGTGCGTATATAACGCCATAACTGTTCCCATATCCCATATACATATATATACGCGTATATAACGCCATCTGGTCATGGGTCAATCTGCATGTATAAATGCATGAAATGCATATGAAATACGTTAATAAAATATCTCGGTACGTCATAAGACTATTATGCCTCTGATTAATATCATGAAATAAACTTTACCAACTTACGTATTTTTTTAAGACCCATGAACAGATGATAGAATAATATGACACATGGGGAATCAAGAACATAAGCATCTCTAGTATTTCTATGAATAGAGTCATTTATGAAATTTGTACATTTGCTCGTTTCGTTCGTATCGTATAGATCATGCCAAAAAAAAAATAAGGGATAGCCTTAACATACCTTTAACGCCAACTTTCTACTTATATCCATGAACAATCCCTCCATCTTGTATGCCAAAACTAGTCTTCTTCCACCTTACTTTATTACGATGAAATCTCAAAATTTCTATCATCCGGAGGAAACCGTTGTGGGTATAACATCTATGGTCATTTGCGTGGTCTAACTACATGGCGGCTTTAACATAACAACATCACATCATTTCTAGAAGTTGATAATCATTACAGGCTTAACAAATATTAGGCTTCAAGTACCACAGGATTCCAGCATCGATACAGATCAGACACCACTCAAGAGACACGCATATAGAGCTCTTATACTCTTAATTAGCCCACACCTACCATTGTCAAATAAGAACAAGCAGTGCTGTATTTTATCAAAAGAAAAAGAAGCAATGTTGTATTTTGGGTTTAATGAGTATTTTCCCCTTTTGGTATATTATATATGTGTTTGCATGTGTTAAAGTGATTATAGGTATGCAAATCACGTTATGAAGGCTTGGGAGGGGGGGAGGGTTGAATCACTTTAATGGACACCTTCCTGCCACTTAATTTATATGAGTCACGTAGTGTGTATATGAATCACTTAATGCATTTGTATGTGGCTGCCACGTTGGTTAATTTAGTTCTTATCCAAAAAACTTAGTCTTTATCCAAATACAACCATTAATTATTAATTAATTAGGTAATATTTCATTACCCAATAATTAACTAATTACCCACATAATTAAGAATTATCCTAAATTACATAAAATACTACTCACTTTTAATACACATTATACATCTTACTATCATGGCCATGTAGTACCTTGTATGACACTAGTCCATAAATGTCGGGCATTATAGTTCGGTCCGTATTTTATCCCAAATTGCCAAGTTTCGACGAAACTCATTTTCTTCGATTTGCTTACCCTCTCACTTTCACGAATTTACTTATCCCTTGTTTGAAATAGCATAATTCTTATAACCTCAAAATAATCTCATTCCCGAGTTTACGTTGATTAACTTATGACAAAACTTCAACGCACGAAAATGCGGAACGTAACATCTCATTTCCGATCTTATATCAATTTACTTATGGTGTACTTGTACTTCCACGTATGAAAACATGGGGTGTAACACTGTATTTATCATTTGTAACTATAACTTTAGTAAATTTACCATTAATGGCAATATTTGAATTTTGTAGCAAATGTACGAAATAAGAGATCAATTATTTTGAATTGAAACAATAGAGCAACAAGCTCTCGTAATTTAGTTGGTTAGAGCGCCCACTTAATATGCGTAGGTCTTTTGTTTGACTCTCAACGAGAGCATTTTATTTTTCTATATTTTTGTATTTCGCCGTGGTGCAACGAATACAGTCGATACAAGTTGTATTCTTTGTATACACCCCTGTATTTCGTCTTGGTTATATTCGTTGTGCGAACCAATACAACTGATACATGTTGTATTTGTTGCGGGCAAGAATACAGTCGATACATATTGTATTCGTTGCGCGTCTGAACAATAGCTACGAATAGTAAATCGACAAATTATAATTACTAGGCTCTAAATTATAGTATTTTATGAAAATTTCTATTAATTTTACTATTGGTTTGTGGTCCACCAAACATACTCTGTAGCCCACCAAAGATATTCTGTCACAACTTTTGAGGCCCATTATGAGAGGATTGTAAGTTAATTTTGCCATGAGTTATTTAATTCATTTAGAATTAATCTCATTACTATTTTGGTTCAGGCCATAATGTAAATTGCTTAGGACTGTTTAAAATGTTTAGAAAATTAAGTTGATAAACACATTAATTGGTTATTTTATATATATGTTTATATCAATATAGTTTGTTAGTCAGTTAAGTGATCAAATTAGAATGTTTAAAATATATATATACATAACATTTATGTTTATTTTATTCATGTATTATTGTTTACATCATTTGTTAGTCCCCAATGTGGCCAAACTAAAATATTTTAAAAAAATACGCATGCATAAAATTTTCTGATATTTATTTTATATGTGCATTTATATTTATAGACAAAATCCACGTCTTAGGTTCGAGTTTAAATTTTGGGATCGAAAATGCATGTCGCCATTTCTCCCTTTATGGGTTCCTCAAATATGGGCCTATTCATAAAGCGACGTCCTAATAAGTAAAAATGGCGTGCGGTAACTACTATTTAAGGTGGTATTTATTTTTTATCCAGCAAATCTAATGTTGAGCAAAAATAGCCAATACTCTATTAAAATTAATATGAAAAGATATTTTTACCCTTTCTTCCATTTCATTTCTTCCCAAACCCTCGCTTCTCTCTCGGTTTATCAAAACCCTTTATCAAAAGTTCATAACTCTCACTTCTCTCTCCAGAACTTTAGTACAAGGTGAATTGGAGTTGTAGCTATTGGATAGCGACACCAATCTCTGCAATAATTCTATGTATATTTTCTGGAACATACACACACGTTCAAGATCAAGTCCCGTAATATTTGGAATGTAACAAGATTAATAATATGCGTTACATTTCTAAGGTTCTTTTTGGGTAAAAATTGACCCTTTATCAAAAGTTCAAAACTCATGCCTCATTCAAAAAATAAGGAAAGGTAGTCCTGAACTTCGAGTTACAAGTTCAAAAGTTAAGGACATGTAGTCCTGAACTTAGAGTTACAAGTTCAAAAGTTAAGGACAAGTAGTCCTAAACTTAGACTTACAAGCTCATAAACAATTAAACAATTAATCCACCATGCCAACCAATCAATTCTGCATTCCAACCAATCAAATCCATAAAATGCAAACTATAGAAAACATAAATATTTGTAACTAAAACATCCAAAAAGAGTTAAACATTCAAGCACCATTCAATCTAGTCTTAAGTATTACAATCATAGTCAAGTGTAAACATTACCAAGTCTAAACATCCAACCATAACAAATAATAATGTTTCAAACATTACTACCACAACAAATTAAACTAAAGCTCATTATCCCCGCCATCCTCGCCATTCAAAGGATCAAATGGACGTCCACTAATAAATTTCTCCACTAGACTCTGCAATTTGTTAAAATTTGCGCGATCTTCTTTACGTTCCTCCTTCAACTCTGCAACTTCTTTTCGTAATGCTTCCACCTCTTCGTGATTCTGCGAAGAACTCGTATCACCAGACAACAATATTGTAGAACGACCTACGGAATGTTGTGATCCAAGACCGTAGGTTCTACCTTTCTTTGCGCCACAAACCACTTGCGTCCATATTGAAGCTACATCATTGAGTGACACTTGTGTTGAGCTACCATCCTCGGAATCGAGTTGACTTTAACGCCATTCCTCCAAACGGTTTTAATAGGCTTCCTGAAATTAAAATGTTAAGTATTAAATTATGTTATACTAACACAGTATGAAGCACCAATGTTATACTAACAGAAAGAAGAAGCAGACTAGGAAATAATAACAGTGAAGTTGCTTTTGAGTTTTCAGCCATGTCGGGAACTTTGGGCCCAAACCGCATTTTCTAAGCTCAATATATGTGAGGCTAAATGAAGGAATTCATTCGCTGCTCAAGTTGACCCCAACACTTTTTCCACATGATAGGAATAAATGTTTCAATTGATGGAGTCTTGCAAAGTGATTTTGTGAAAGATAAGACTTCTAAAGCATTTGCTGCAAGGTCCAAATGAGTTAATTCAGGAAAACTAAAAATACTCTTAGGTAAGGCTCCCTTTAGTTGATTCTGTCCCAATTCCGAGATTTCCAACCGTGAAAGCTGCTCAATAGTTGTTGGAATCGTGCCTGATATCGCGTTAAAAGAAATACTAAGAATCCTTAACATCTTTTCAGACGTCCTAATGAATTTGGCAATTGCCCTGTCAACTGTTTTCCAGAAAATCTTAAGACCTTTATAGTCGTGTTGTTGCAGCTGGACAGCCCGTCCACTACTCGACTTATGTCTCTATTAATTTTATTCTGCAATAGAAACTCCCGCAAAATACAGAGTTTACCCCACTCGAAATTTGATATTGGACCTTCAACGTTACTAGACTTGATAAAAAGTTCCTCAATTTTGGTGGCATTAGACAACCAACCATCTAGGCAACACAGAATTAACAAAGTTATTCCCTGAAAGGTAGAGATAGAAAAGGGAAGTCATATTCCAGTTGGGTAAGGAGTAAGGGAGATAGTGAAGGCTACTGTTTTGCAAACTAAGAAGACAGCCCAGAAACCCAATTCAAGTTTGAAAACTCAAAAGCAACTTCCTCTTTCTATACTGTTTCACCCATATCATTGACAAATTCTACAGATTAACTTTGAATACTTGTATTCTTTATATCGACAAAGAAATTTACTATGTTAGCATCCCCCAACTTCAGATGTGCTAATCTTGTAAGAATCAGACTAAGTGTTATCCCAATGCAAAACCAAAAGAAGAAACTAGAGAATCTTGTTGTTAGGAACTTACATATGTCCTAGCAGCACGTGGCTCAACCCATTCTTTCGTACCATCCTTTTTCTTTTTCATATGTTTGTCCTCAAAGACCTCAGCATAAGTCACAAGTCTCCCTTTTTCCTTTTCCTACAAAAAAAAAGTTAAGTTAGATAAAGTTCATAATCAACACCTTGGAAGTTCTCCTAAAAGCTTTTTGTAAAGTTTACAGAAGCTATTCTGTAAAGTTTAGAAATGAAAGGCACATTACTGTAGTTACCATCTAAAGCTAAGCAAGTACAAAAGTTATTTTGTCTATGTTTCATTAACTGTAATCAAAAGTTAAGAGCATAAATACACGATTCAGTAAATTAGAACTTATTTTAAGAGTTTAACTAGTAACCTACTATCAACTAGCCTAAGGGGATCTTTCCCAGAATGCGCATCAACAGTGCTTAACCATGAAATTGTGCAGAAAAAAGTGACGACTGTATAACAACAATATATGTGAAAGAAGAAAGAAGACTGAGAAAGGAGAAATAGAAAAGGCCCTCAGTTGTTCTTGAATAACTATTATAGAATAAACTACACATTGATTTGTTAATATCTCTCAATTTGTAAACTCAAAGCAAATATAATAAGAAATTTACCATTCTCCTTCGATGGGTCTCCATACTAACTGAACCCCCTGTGTGCAATGAGCCACCCATATTGGAGGCTCGGGCAGCCTTTCTGGCGTTGCTCCTCTTCTTAAATTCTTCATAAGCCCATATCACATTAAGTTTATCCCATATGTCTTTTAGTATCCAACCGGGCATCTTGCCATCAAGCCGAGCTTTATAGAAGAGATTTTTAAGCCTATCAACACCTTTTTTCTTGAAATTATGACTTATTTGCTGATGATATTTGGGATGCCATGCACACCTTGTCTGCAAATAATTTAAAACATTAGATGAAATAAGGGTAATTTGATAAATAATATAAAACTTATTGATTTTGTACCCTAAATTGATTCCACATCTAATCTCTGTAAATATACGGTATATCTGACCATTAACTCCAAGCATCTCGGTAAAATGCTTTAACACAATCCACAACCACCTTCGTAGATTCATTGGAGGGAACAAACCTGGATTAACATTAACATATGTCTAAAATATATTCAACAATTCAAGCGAATGATAAAGTAATTGCTTACCCAGTAGTAGGAATGATAATCAGTCTATGAAGATCATCATATGATACAATCTCTTCAAAAGTCTGTGTCTGTGTATCATCAGGAGCAGGTGTAGATCTTAAATTACTGCAGAAACAAAGAACCAGAGTTAAAAATTACTAATCTTAAGTCTCAAAATAATAAACTCTAATCCAGGTGTGCGGTCCACTATTCTTCTGTAGATTAGTTATTGGCTCTACCTCAAAATTTCAAGTTGTGCTCTCATGAAGGCTACTCCTAAATATTTAGTTGGTCCAACTGGTTATGGCTCTAAAACCACTGCAGAGCAAGTCACCCAAACTTGCTCTTTTTCCCTTTCTTCTCAGCTCACTGCAATTATCACTGGTTAGTATCTTAAAATCTAGTCCTAGTTCTATAGACCGTTTGAATATTTTGTTTTTCATCTTAAACTACAGATTTCTAGCTACTCGACCATCATACATTCTTTTATCTTCATCATTTATCTGTTGGTTTGAAGATATAACATACGAATATTCTTAGAACAGATATATGTGATACATGTACCTATCTGAAAAAGACTCATTTGAATCCTCAAATTCAAAACGTTTATTTCCAAAGATACATAGAAGAGAGATACATATGTTTCTCTAACAAATTTGTTTAGTCACTGTGGCCCATGTTTTCACCTGAGTTTTTCAGATTCAGGTCATCACTCATCATTTTGTTTCCTGATACTAACAGTTTACACATTTCAAGAAAACCAATCAAATAATAGCTCTCTTTTTCTCCCTCCTGGCATTTGTAGAATTTGGCGCAAAGAATGTTGACCTATTGTATATATACATACTTTTTTTAGTAAAAGAAATTATATACATACTTCCTGATACTAACAGTTTACACATTTCAAGAAAACCAATCAAATAATAGCTCTCTTTTTCTCCCTCCTGGCATTTGTAAAATTTTGCGCAAAGAATGTTGACCTACTGTATATATACATACTTTTTTTAGTAAAAGAAATTATAATTAGTAAACTGTTTTCGACGAAGCAATGTTGAACGACATCACTAGTATTTGTCATTTTCTATTCCCCTGCATTTTCTCATTTCTTTCCTTTTCTTTTCTTTTTCCTTTTACAAATTTAATCGGGACTAATTTGAATTTATATCACTATGAATGTATATGATTGTGAACTCTTTACTGTTAAAACAATCTAAACAAAGATTTTATATTTATCCAGTGAGACCTAATTCTTAAACTCGTTTAGCCGAAGAAATTTGTTCTATAAGATGTCTTTTTCATCTTAGGATAATGCTACACACAAAATAAATCTAGGTAATAAAAAGAGAGACATAGACAGAAACTAACCGAAAAGAGGAGTGGAAGAGAAATTGGAGCAGATTTAGCCTTCAAGAGTCGAAGAATAGGCTTGAAATTTCTGCCGTTAGCCAAAAATTGGCATTCCGCCGTTTGCCACCGTCAACCACAGGTGGAGTTGAAGAGAAATCGAAGAACAATGGTGGAATGGAAGAGAAATCGCAGAAACCGCAGAAGATTGGGGAGATATCGATAGAGAGAGAGAGAGAGAGAGAGAGAAAATTGGGAAAATATGGCTGAAATTAGGCAAATAGGGTTTGCTGAAATATTATATTTACCTTTGTAACTACCGCCTGAAATATTATATTTACCTTTGTGACTGCCACGCCACGGTCACAAACCCAATAAAATATTCTTTTATCATTTTTATTTTTATTTTGCGACCGGAGCAGTCACTTAATTGGTCAACTATTATTATTGACATTTTATCTTTTGACCGAATTGGTCGCAAAAGTGAAGGCGGGAGAATTGGCACGCTGTTTTCCCACTATTTTTGTCAGAATACTAGTCAAATTTCTTTTTTTTAAAGTAATAAAAATGCAATCTTTTTTTTACTACTGCATCGCAAAAGAAGTCACATTAGCGACTACTTCAATATCGATCAGAAATTTCGGTCGCAAATTAATTTTTTTCTAGTAGTGTAAAAGCACAGAAATTAAGGAAAGGTAGTCCTAAACTTCGAGTTCCAAGTTCAAAAATTAAGGACATGTAGTCCTGAACTTAGAGTGACAAGTTCAAAAGTTAAGGACAAGTAGTCATAAACTTAGACTTACAAGCTCATAAATTAAGGACAACTAGTCCTTAACATACAGTAACAAGCTCATAAGTTAAGGACACTTGATCCTGAACTTTATGAGCAGAAGGGTATTTTCGTCCGGGGGTAAAGTTTATTAAAGCAGTGGCTAAAGACTAAAGACATTTTAAGCGATGACTTAAAAATAAATAAATATATTATTAGTGACTAACTGTGCACTTCCCCCACTTAATAATCGTGTCCATAAAACGATATGACCTCATGTGCAGGGAAATTTGCTAGCCCACTTATTTTTCACTTAATAATTAACTAAAAACGAATTAATTTAAATAGTTGTTTACTCAATCACTTCAATTAGAAATAACTAGTGATGCATAATTTGTATAATATATATATAATTATGTATAATATATGTATACAGTATACTGGCTAAGAATAGTATTGACACTAATTGTTTTTGTAAAGACCTTAGAAAAATTACAACTATTCTGTGTTCTTTTTCTTTTCTAAATTAAGAATACTACAACCAGGGCCGGATTTAGTATACTAATGACGTGGTCAATTGAACCCATAACTTTCGACGCAGAGTAAAAATTAATATGTAAAAAATGATTTAAATTGCAAAAATAATAGATTTGAACCCATAACTTTAAGAATATAATGGGTTTAAAGTCGAAACCTTAAAAGTTGAACCCATAAAATTTAAATCTTGATTACGCCTCTGACTACAACCATGCAATTTATGTCTTAGATACTCCATTTGTGGTAAAAGTGTTTTCCAAACCCCAAATGATGTAATTCTGTTTTTTTTTTCTTTTTTCTTTTTTTGTCTGGATTTAACATTAACATACGCTTAACTCTGTCGAAAAGAAAATATCTGTCATATATGAATGTCATTTTCTTCGGACACAGTTATTAAAATATGAGTTGAATTCTATTAAGTTTTCTTTCTGAGCAACAAACTTTTACTTGGGAGAGAACTGTCGTAAATAAATGGAGAAAGAAAATGTGAGTTTTTACAAAATATCACTCCTTCCCGTTATTAGTCCTAGTGTAAAAAGAAAGATTACAATATGTCTCAAATATTTTTTACACTGTCACCAACAACAATAACAACTTAACAACAACAAATTTAGTATAGTACCATAAGTGGGGTCTAGGGGAGTGTGTTGTAACGACTCGGCCGGTCGTTTTGAGAGTATTAGCCCCGATCCCCTATTTACTGCTTTCCCCGTATCTTTTTCTGCTTATGCGACTTGCCGGGAGCACTACTAGAAATTCAGCAAAAACCGACCAAGGTCGACCGACCAACTTTGGTTGGTCAAAAAAAGGGCCAAAAAACCGATCAAAGTTGGTCGGTTTTTCAAAATATTTTAATTTTTAATTTTTTTTATGAAACCGACCAACTTTGGTTGGTTTTCTTTGGCGCAAAAATGCGGAAAACTATTCTTGAGTCCTGCGAAATTTATTTTTCAAGAAACTGACCAACTTTGGTTGGTTTTTCAATTAAAATAAATAAAAATTAATATTAAAAAAACCGACAAAAATTGTCGGTTAATTCGGCCGGTCATTTTAAAAAACCGACCAACTTTGGTCGGTAATTTTATTTTTTAATAAAACCGACCAACTTTGGTCGGTTATTTTCGTGCAAAAATACAATTAAAGAGTACAAATCAAATAAAAGACAGTCTTAAAACAAAATGCACCAATGGTCTAGTGGTAGAATAGTATCCTGCCACAGTACAGACCCCGGTTCGATTCCCAGATGGTGAATCTTTTGATTACATAATTAAAAAATCAACCAACTTTGGTCGATTTTTTTTTTTTGCAATAATTTTTTTTAATTTAATTGACCGACCAACGTTGGTCGGTAATTTCCGACCAACTTTGGTTTGTATGCCTTTCCGACCGTCAAAATACCGTCCACACATAAATGGTCGCGTTTTGGTCAGTAATTGGCCATAACTGACCAACTTTGGTCGGTAATTGGCCATAACCGACCAACTTTGATCAGTTTTTTTGGTCGGTATTTAGCAGAGTTCTAGTAGTGGAGGTTCTATTTTTTATTTCGGAGTATTTTGGGGCACTTAGTCCCTAAAATGGAAGTTTAAGTTCTAGAATTTTGACCATAGTTGGAACTGTGTGAAGACGACTCCAGAAAGGAGTTTTGTCGGTTCTGTTAGCTCTATTGGGAGATTTTGGACTTAGGAGGGTGTCCGGATTGTGAATTGGAGGTCTGTAGATGAATTAGGCTTGAAATGGTGGGGGTTGAATTTGGATGGTTAATGGATCGAATTGGAAGTTGGAGGAATGGCTAAAGCATTGCTGCTTCTGGTGTAATCGCACCTGCGGTGGGGTTGACCGCAGATGCGGACTCGCACGTGCAGAAGGAGGAGTGCATGTGCGATTTGGAGAAGCATGGCCTGTGGGCGCAAGTGCGAGGCTAGGATAGCAGAAGCGGAGCCGCTCCAGCGGAGAAAGGATCACAGAAGCGGAAGGCGAGCTGAGTGAGGATTCTGCAGAAGCGGACAAAAGTCCTCAGGCGCGCACTCGCAGGTGCGGCCTTGTGCTCGTAGAAGCGGACCAGAGGACTTAAGTCAAGTCCGCATATACGATGGAATTTTCGCAGGTGCAGTACTGATTGTGCGGCTAAATGTCCGCATGTACGAAGATTGCTGGGCAGAAAAGGCTAAGTTCGAGGGTTTTATCCCATTCTTCATTTTGGGACTTTGAGAGCTCGGATTTGGGCGATAATTTGGGGGATTTTCAGAGGAAGCTTTTGGGTAACGATTCTTAACTCATTTATGGTTATACTCCATTAATCTATAGTTTATTTCATCATTAATTAAAGAATTTGGGGAAAAGGTTGGAAAGTTCTTCAACTAAGTTTTTATGTTTTGATTCGGATTTTGATATCGGATTTGGATAATTTTGGTACGAGTGAACTCGTGGTTGATTGGATGTTCGTATTTTGTGACTTTTACCCGATTTCGAGATGTGAGCCCGGGTCGATTTTTTAGGACGATTTTCGAAATTCTTGTTAAATTCTTGATTTCATTAATTAGATTAGTCTATTATAGTTGTATTTATGGAATGTAATTAGTTTTGGCTAGATTTGGTCCATTCGTAGTCGGATAATCAAGGAAAGGGCATTCTTACTGATTGATTGAGTTTGGTTCGAGGTAAGTGGCTTGCCTAACCTTGTGTGGGGGAAATGCCCTTAGGAATTGTACTGTTGTGATACTTCTGTGATATGTGAGTGCCGTGTACGCGAGGTGACGAGTACGTACACAGGCTAATTGTTGTAAAATCCGGTTGTTCGCTGAGTAATAGCATGTTACACTTTAATTGAGTTATACTAGCATGTGTAGTTATCCTGTTTAGCCTAGTTTCACTTGTCTACGTGTCTTAAATGTTTATTTGAATTATGTGCAGCATGTCGAGTTGAATTCCTACCTGACTTGATTTGTATCCACCTTAGCTGTAGAAGTCTTGTTGCTAATTGTTTTTCTCCACTGATTTGAGTTGTGCATTTACTTTTGGGACTACGAGGCGGTACCTCGTGAGATCCCCCAACATATTTACTTTTGGGACTACGAGGCGGTACCTCGGGAGATCTCCCTGCATATTTACTTTTGGAACTACGAGGCAGTACCTCGGGAGATCCCCATGCACATTTACTTTTGAGACTACGAGGTGGTACCTTGGGAGATCTCGTCGAATATTTACTTTTGGGACTACGAGACGGTATCTCGGGAGATCCCTTGTTGAGTATTTACTTTTGGGATTACGAGACGGTATCTCGGGAGCGCCCCTGTTGTTATCTTATTGTGTTGTGTTGTTATTGCTTTGTGAATTCTTTCTGCTAAATTCTCCGTATTACTTTATTTTATTATATCATCTGTCTTATTATTATATCCAGTAGGGCCTGGACCTGACCTCATCACTACTCTACCGAGGTTAGGCTTGGCACTTACTGGGTATCGTTGTGGTGTACTCATGCTACACTTTTGCACATGTTTTGTGTGTAGTTCTAGGTGCTTCTTATTAGCCCCACTATTAGCTGAGAGTGCTTGCTACTGTACAGAGACTTCAAGGTACATCTGTCGTGTCTGCAAATCTCGGAGTCCCCCTCTATTCCCTCATATGTCGTTTACCTTCTCATAATTTTCTTACACTCTAATGTAAAGAGATACTAGTCTTTCTTCTGTAGCTTGTGACTTATGATTACCGGGTTTTGGGAAAGATACTGTATATACTCGAGTGTTGGATTTTGTACATGTCGAGCGACATCATATCAGTTATTTAATTATTCTATTGCAGTTTAGTTGTAAATTTTGCTTTTATTTCTGTTTTTCCGCAATTTGTTAGGCTTACCTAGTCGTAGAGACAAGGTGCCGTCACGACGTCTTACGGAGGAAGAATTGGGTCGTGACAAGTTGGTATTAGAGCTCTAGGTTCATAGGTGTCTTGAGTCACAAGACGGTTTATTAGAGTATCGCG